CAGGGAGCCCGATGTGGGGCTTGATCCCAGGACCCTGAGATCATGACCTGAGCCGAAGGCAGACGCTTAACGACTGAGCCACCCAGGCGCCCCAGAAGTTTGTAGTTTAATATAGAGACAAAAAGAGAGGCCTGAGAACGAGTCAAGGTATGCAGTGCCTTCAGAGAGGAATAAAAAAGGGCCACGGGGATTTGCCGGACTGTGGGAAAGACTGGGAGGCTTCAGCAAGAGTTTTAGGGAGGAGGCAGCATCTGAGCTGGGTCTCAAGGATTAGCATTTGGAGAGACATGGTGGTGGAGGGGAGGCTGGCCTTCCTGGCAGAGAGAGAGAGAGAGCAAGCCAGGGCAAGGGTGAGTCAAGAAAGGCACTCATGCTCAGGCCCATGTAAATATAGGGTTGGGATCTGAGAGTGGGCAACTTTTAAGTTTTGCCCCCTGGTCACAGTCCTGAGAAAGGAAGAGTCCAAGATGGCTAGAACAGAGTAAGGCATTTGAAGCTGTGTTGTTTGAGCAGAGTGAGTGAATGAAAAAGAAGCCCAGGGAAGTACTGGCAGGCTGAGCCTGGCAGTCACCTGGTTCCTTCAGAGGAGGAAAAAATCTTTAAAACCAGGCTTCTCCTGAGGCTGACATTAAAGCAGCAGCACAGGAGAGGAAAGGAGGGAAGCACGCAGTAGACTCTTGCAGAGTACAAAACCCACAACAGGACTTAGAAGGCAGATCCTGAACTCCTCTGATGGCCGTGGCTGTCCTCCTCCTCATCTCCCATATCAGGAGTCGGTGGTCAGGTACACAAATTAAAGAGGCCACGAACCAGATTGCTCCCTTTCTCCAAGGCCTCCATGTCATGGGAAGCTATTGCTCATTCCTTTCATTTCACTAAGGCATGACACAACCTCCCTAATGAGGTTCTACTCAATTTATGTATGGAGTACAAGGTAAGTGAACTACTGTGAAGGTTCAATTAAAAGATCCCTGGGATTTGATAATTACCATATGCTAATTCTCAGAACCTTTGAAAAGTTTCTCTTCCTTTGGGATATATAGGTTGCTTTGTCTGCAACAAAGTTTTGTCTGCTGTGGAAAAGTAATAGTAGTTCCAGTTAGGGGAGCTTGACTAGTGAGGAAGAAGTTGCAAACGAGAGTCAGGCATTTGAACCTGTGTTTGAAGAAGCCTGGCTCACGGTTTACTCTGAGGCTCACTCGCTCATTCAACAAATGTTTACTGAGCACCTGTTCTGCATCAACCACTGTGTCAGGTACTGCATTTACAATTTCAACATGGGAGGCAGGCTTCTGTCCTCACAGAACTGGCAGTCTAGCGGGGATACAAAGACCCAGGCAATTTTGACAAAGGGGGGCCCTTGCTCTGTCGAGGCCATGTGATATAGGCCTTGGGAGAGGCACCTTTGCAGACTTGGGGCATTCAAGGGAGGATCCAAGAGGAAGTGTTCTGAATTTTAGACCTGAAAAAGGAGCAGAGGGGGAGAGAATAGAAAGAATGTTCCAGGCAGAGAAAAATAACATACGAAGGCCCAGAGGTGAGAAAGCACAATATTTTTGAAGAACTGAAAAATATTCGGGATGACCAAAAGTGAATGATGCAAAGTGAGGAGTGCCAAGAGCTGAAGCTGGAGACACAGGAGAGGCCAGACTGGGGCTTTGCAAGCATGAGGGCTTTGATCAGGGAAATGTGGTGATCAGAAAAACCTCTCCTGTAATAGTATGGACATGGATTGTAAAGAATCAAGACCAGGGAGGGGTGTCCACAGGCAAGTTGATGGTTTCCTAATGTAGGGAACTGGTAGGAGGTAGATATTGAGGAGATACTGAAGGAGAAGACATGGACTTAAAATTTATGTGGGAAATAGAATAAATTGGAATTGTTTATTTTGTGGGAGAGCAGAAGAGATAAAGGAGTTAAGGTTTCTTTCTTGCACAATGAGCGACAGTGTCCCTCACTGCAACTGGGCACTTAGAAAAATAGGGAAAAGAAGGAAATTAGGCTCAGTTTGAACATAGACCAGCCTTCACAGATCTGGGCTGAAGACATAGATGGGGGAATCTTTATCAACATCATGGAATCAAAGCCATGGAACAGATGGAATCAATCAGGAAGAGAGTGTGGAGCAATAAGAAAAGTAGGTCTAGGAGTGATTGCCAAGGAAACATTTAGGAAAGGGACAGAAGAGGAAACTATCTAGGAGACTGAGGAGAAACGGTGCCAAAGCAGCGAAGGAAAGTGGCATTAACAATGTCAAATGCTACAGCAAGATCTGATGTAACACCAAATGGTCGCTGGGCTAAATAGGAGGGAGTCATGGGTGATCTTGGCAAGAGCAGTCAGAAGAGAGGTGGCTGAAGAATTAGTGGAGCCCACGAGGTGGAGGTGGGCGGGGGAATGGGGACAACCCCTTCAGCAAGACTGGCACCGCCGTGGGGAGGAGGGAGACAGGGGTGCTGCAGGGAGCACGCAGCCCATCACACTTATGTTGGCTCCAAAGTGATGATCAAGATTAATCTGGCCACCTTGAGGATTTACCACAGAAAATTGAAGCAAACAGGCAACACACTCAAATTCATTTACACAGATGCTGTGGTTTTAACTCAAATAATAATTCCCTTTAAAAGGGGAAATTCTTGGTGCCTCTTTCTTCCCCCAATCTGGATAGAAACTTGTCTTTGCCTCAAGAGAAGTGATGCAGAAAAACTCCTGGGAGAAAGCCAAATACTCACATATTCATGGGGAAAGAAAATAGCAACACAGTGAAGTCAATCATTTGGAAAATTTTCCACATAAATACCTTTAGCTATTTGAGGTAGCAGATTTTCTCCAAATTAAACTCTTGCTATGAAAGTCAATGTCAGGAAGTGGCTAAACTCAATAGTCTTCAAGTTGTGCCCAGAATTCCCAAACAGGAGTCATAGGTCCATCCCTCAGTCCGTTTTATGCCCTGAGTCTGCAGAGGTTGGAAGTATTGCAAAATGGGCACTTGCAACTTCTCGGGGGGAGGAGAGGCATCATATTGTTCAGAACAACAGCTGCTACAGAATCAGGCCCCGCATTAACAATAATCTGGAAAGGATTTTGTTTAAGCCTCCAGACCTGAGTAGTTGAAGGGACAGAAAGCTTTCATGTAGAAATGGAGAGTTGATGTAGGTTTAGGAGATTCTTTTTTTTTTCCAAAAGATTTTATTTATTTATTTGACAGACACAGCGAGAGAGGGAACACAAGCAGGGGGAGTAGGAGAGAGAGAGAAGCAGGCTTCTCGCCAAGCAGGGATCCCGATGCGGGGCTCGATCCCAGGACCCTGGGATCATGACCTGAGTCGAAGGCAGATGCTTAACGACTGAGCCACCCAGGCGCCCCTAGGAGACTCTTTATGTGTGTACTGCACTCTAAGAGATGAATGGACAAATGCAAGTGGCTTGGAAACACCTTGAACTTTAGTAGCAGCATCCCTT